CAAACTACAAATTACTCTAGTTTTCCTCTAATGCATACACCCATACAACTGATAGTGATGAGAAAAAGTTTATGGTATGCAATACATCAGGCTCAAAGAGGAACTCTTTTGTGTGTGTGTTTTTTTAGTTAAACGGAGGCATTTAAATATGTTTTCACAGGAGACTGTAAACCAAAACCTTCGGAAAGAATTCCATATTAATAATCAAAATAAATCCATCAGAGCTGTCAGCTTAAGACAAATCTTCACTTAGGCCTCCCCTTTTCCTTTGAAGAAATACACTATAATTTAGAAATAAGACACATGCCTTCCGCTCTTGTATATTATCAAGTAAACTGCCAGAAAGAGCCAAACACTTTCAAAGGCATGTTTGCTGAAGAAATAAAGATAAGGAGCCGTAACGATAGCTTAATGGGTAAGGGATAACAGTCACACTTGATTCTGCCAAAAGCAGACTTGTAGAGGTTCAGACAAGCATCCAAGAATCAGTTCTGTCTGCCAACGTATCAACTCAGTGCATGCAACTAGCAAGAAGGTCCAAAGACCTGCCACTAAGCCTGTCACTGTCACTAGTGAGGCAAGACAGACAAGTTCGCCAGATAGCTAACACTGTCTCCAAACCAAAGCTGAGTATTCTTCCAAGAGAAGTTACACTGTAAGGTCCCATATATTCTGTCAACAAGTCACTGGCTGAAACCACCTGAAATAATATCCCTTGATTAACTAAATATATATCAGAGGATTTAGGGACTTGGCAATATAGTACTACTTTTCTATGGCAAATAATAATGGCAGGCTGTATTATAAATGGCTTTTCTCAAGATAAGAGCAAACTAATTATTGAAACTAATTATTGTCCCAGATAAGTTATGCTGCACAGGCAAATCACTGAATACCTTGTTCTTCCATGAAAAATAGCAAGATACAGAAAAAATATCCAAAATTAAATGTTTCCTTTTCTTTTGAAAGTGTGAAAAATAAAATTGACAAAGATGAAAAGTATCTGGATTACTTAATATTGAGAATTTTTTAAAAGCTGAGGGGCAAGAGGTTTCAATTTTCAAGAGCCTGTTTAAAGATCCAGAAGCCCAGTGTGATTTCACGTGATCCTTCACTCTGCTGCTCATCTGGAGTATTATAGGCATACACAAGGTCAAAAAAAAAAAAAAATCCAAATTAATTTGGAGCCTTTATAAAATCTCTTTAGACTTCTAGCGATCCTGTGAAATGTCACAAAAACAGAGCTGAGAATCACTCTCATGTTGTCGTTTTGATTCATTTATTATTTAGTTTTTACCTACTTCTAAAAGGATTTGAGGAGGCTGGAGATTTTCTCAGTATGGTGCCAAGCAGAAAAGGGGATTTGATAAAGCTTTTTGGCAAAGGAGTTCAGAGTAACAAAATTTCTAAAGATACTGACCAAAACCCCTATAAGAAAACAAAAACAAGAAAAGGGACTCTGAACACAGCCAGACCATTTACTCTAGACATACGACCTTTCTGATTATAAAAACAGTGTAAGATTGGGACAGATTATATAAACATAAGCCTGCCCTGGTGAGTGAAACATCAAATGCCACTACCTTGACAGACCATTTAAGACAAGAATAAGCCTGGTGGTTCCACATCAACACCAAAAGGTTGGGAAAGAAAGGCTCTGAGGTAAGGTAAGAACACACACACACAGGAGACTGTGGCAGGTGGCAAGCAGGCAGGCAAGGAGGGGCTGTATATCCATACTAATTAAAGGTTATGCAGTCACCACACCCTCACGCCATGATACCTTCACACCATAACAATCCATCACCAGGAAGCTGCGTGCACAGAAGGAGCACCCAGGTGGGCAGGGACTTGAAGCTGCATGAGCAGCATGGAGGCAGGTCCCAGCGGCTATGGCCTAACTCTTTGAGAGCAATCCATTGAGGAGCTCTGGATGGGTGGGCAGGGCCTACCTCTTTGGGGAGACCGATCACAGGGCTCCAGCACTGTGAGAAGGCACAGGCCAGGCTGGGGACCACCCTGCCTGTCAAGTGCATGAATTTCGTGCACTGTGCTTTTAGTCTATCTATAAGAAAGGCTGGTAGGTATTCTTCAATGACCTTAGTAGCTTACTCCTTTTGGCCAAAATAACACTCATTTAAAAAAAAACACCAAAACACAATGCCGAAACCAGTTTGGCTCAGTGGATAGAGCGTTGACCTGAGGAATGAAAGGTCCCGGGTTCGATTCCAGTCAAGGGCATGTACCTTGGTTGCGGGCACATCCCAATTAGGGGGTGTGCAAGAGGCAGTTGATCGATGATTCTCTCTCATCGATGTTTCTAACGCTCTATCCCTCTCTCTTCCTCTCTGTAAAATATCAATAAAAAAACAAAACAAAACAAAAAAACACAAACACAAAACACTGAATACTAACATGGTGAAGATAGAGCCCAGTTTAAAATATTTAAATTGAAAATAAATATTTATTGAACACTGATTAACGACTTGGGCCGGGTAATTTAAAATGCTATTCTGCAAACTCTTTGGTTTATTATTTTGAAATTTGGTACCCCTCTCTAAATCAAATCAAGTTAAAAAATATTTACCAGCAATATTGCTTCTACAGTACCTGTTAATATAAACTCAATATAGGATCCAGATATATGAAGGAACCAATGAACTTTTTTTAGGGATAAGAAAATAAACCTAATAATATCACAACTAATCACTCCTATTTATATTTATAAACTTTTTTTTTTAAAGAATGTTGGCAGTTTTGTTTTTCTTATTATTTTTTTATAAGTATATTTTATTGATTTTTTTACAGAGAGGAAGGGAGAGAGATAGAGAGCTAGAAATGTCGATGAGAGAGAAACATCGACCAGCTGCCTCCTGCACACCCCCCACCGGGGATGTGCCCGCAACCAATGCACATGCCCTTGACCGGAATCGAACCTGGGACCTTTCAGTCCGCAGACCGACGCTCTACCACTGAGCCAAACCGGCTTCGGCAATATATTTATAAACTTTTATTCTTTTTTTTAAAAAAAAATATATTTCTTTATTGATTTCAGAGGTAGGGAGAGGGAGAGAGAGAAACATCAATGATGAGAGAGAATCATAGCTTGGCTGCTTACTACACACTCTCTACTGGGGATTGAGTCTGCCACCCAGGCATGTGCCCTTGACCAGAATCAAACCTGGGACTCTTCAGTCCGCAAATCTACGCTCTATCCACTGAACCAAACTGGCCATGGCTAAACTTTTATTCTTAAATGATAGGCAAACCCAAATAAAACAGTGAATCACATGAGGGTTTTCTCTCTATTCGGATTTCCTACCATTATTGCCACATAGTACTTGCCACTGCCTAAATCAGGAGAGTGTCCCCTAAGTTCATGGTCAGCAAACTGTGGCTTGTGAGTCACATGCGGCTCTTTGGTCCCTTGAGTGTGGCTTTTCTACAAAATAGCATGGCGAGTCTATTTTGAAGAAGTGGTGTTAGAAGAAGTTTAAGTTTAATAAATTTGGCTCTCAAAAGGAATTTCAATTGTTGTACTATTGATATTTAGCTCTGCTGACTAGTGAGTTTGCTGACCACTGCTAAGTGACGCTGTAATTGATAATGGATGTGCCCAAATATTGGAACCATCCAACCATCACTGGTGGTCTATTCATTCCGGTGTCCCACTCAAATATACCAATTTTTATATATCACAAGGGACAACAAATGGTGGGAAGTATGGCTCTTGGTCTCCATGGAGTTGAGTTCCTATTTCCTGGGCTTTGGAAAACAGGTCAGACAGTGGTGTAAGAAAAGGGAGAGCTGCAACCAAGGTACATGCCCTTGATGGGAATTGAACCTGGGACCTTTCAGTCTGCAGGCCAATGCTTTATCCACTGAGCCTGACTGGTTAGGGCAGCAATAAGTAATTGTTGCTTTCCTTTGTGAGTTCTTAAAGAGAAAATCCTATACAATAAAAGGCTAATACGCAAATTGTCCCCTTGGGAGTTTGACCAGCCAGGAATTCGACCACTTGCTATGATGTGCGCTGACCACCAGGGGGCAGTGCAGAACAAAGGAGGGCCTTGGCCGGCAGGTGGCAGCTGGGGGAAGGAAGGCCCCGATTGGCTCTGAATGCTGACCACACCTAAGGACCCTACCTGTGCACTGGGCCTCTAATATTAGAGATAAATGGTGCAGCATGGTTAACTTCTAAAATCTTTACAATTAAGGAAAGACCACAATTTTTAAAAACAATTGCTTTTTACTTGACAACACTACCTTAAGGGAGGAAAAAAGCCAGTAATTATGAGGTACAATGAGAAGAAAACCTGCTTGGGAAACTCTAAAATGTTGACGGACTCACAAAGTTAACAAAAGGCCCCTGGTGGAGGCTCTCCAGGCACACTAAGCGACGGTCTATAGCAGCTATAAAGCAATACACATTTCTGCAATGTCTGACCTCAGTGTCAGCAGGTCAGCCTGGGAGTCGAAGTCTCTCTACCTTTTCATGGTGTTTTTACCTCTTCAATCTACAAATGTGGCAACAGCAAGGCTCTTTCCTTATCTTGGCCCAGAAGGCCAGACTAATGCAGTTGCCACAGCTCCTTTCTCCTTCACCGATTACAGAGTCATACCCACCACAAGCAGAGCTGCGGCTGAGGGTGGAAGACAGGCCTTTCCTCAGGCTCAGTAACAAGTCCCGTGCTGAATTCAAAGATCATAAAGAACGAACTGGGAAACTTTTAAAATTGTTTATAAATGTCTTTCAGTTGGAGGGAGAACTCACACTTTTTGACTTGACAAATTATAAACTTCTCTTGCAAGGAAATTTCCTGCACTGTGCTTTAAATCTGTGAAGATTCATGCCAAATGCCAAAAGCCAACTATCATCTCTACCGTTCTGAGTCTTACCCTTGAACTGAGAAAGGACAAGTAGAGAGAGAAAAAAAGGGCACACACTACAGTATTTCTTCTATTAAAACTTTCCATTTGGCAGCTGCATTTTCAACACTATGGAAATGAATCTCCCTGCTTTTGCCAGTGATCTAATTTTAATTAAAAATGCTCTGTATCAAGAGACTGATGGCCGATATAAAGGAAAAGTTGTAAGTGAAGCGGAAACTAAGGGGTATTTCTCACAGCCATTTGGAGGTAAGTTCTTAAAAATATTAAAAATCAGCAATATTTTTAGGTTTATTCAATTGTTCTTGCTATGGTGATTTTCTGTTGTTGTTAAGCAGATTATGGAACAACATACTTTGTTCAATTTCCCAAAAGTACTTATGGGTTATAGAAAACATTTTAAAATACAAAAAGTGGCATTCAGTGGGTGATCACGCCGTAGGTGTTGGGTGGGAGAAACATGAAGAGTTGTCCTTGTCTCTCTGGTGGACCAGATTTTCATTATTATTAGCCTAATCATTCAAATTTACAATGGGAAATTCTCAAATCACAGATCTTAATTAATTGGATTGTTTTAGAATTAAGCATAGCACTGGGATAATACAGTAGTGTATTTCATTAAGAATCCTGACCCTTTTCAGAAAGGCAGAGTTTGACACTGAAACTTTTAACCAGTTTTATGACTTCTGCTAATAATTAAAAAAAAAAATACAATAGAACCAAAGGGACAAATAAAATTCTTTAAGGCTGGTCTGAGTGCAGTGGTGTCTAGAATTAATTGATCACAGTTAGTTATAGATTTCCTCCTTGGCTGGGAAGGCCCGTTGGTTAGAGCATTGTCCTTATACGCCAAAGTTGTGGGTTTCATACTGAGCCAGGGGACATACAAGAATCAACCAAAAAATGCATAAATAAGTAGAACAACAAATTGATGTTACTCTCTCTCCTTAAAAAATTAAAAAAAAATACACAACAGTTATAATCAACTTGTTTGTTTAAAACCAAAGTAAAAGACAATACTGAAATAGTTTTTGCAAAGAAAATCATTAAATGACAGAATTGATTTTGCAGAGCTTAACAGTACCAAAAACCTTTATCTTAATATTTTCAATTAAGCAAGTTATATTGTAAACTGTTTAGTTGTACAAAAATACCAATTTTACTTGCTTTTACCTTTTTAATAATTCAAACACTAAATTTTGGATTTTAAAATAATTGCTCAGAACCCACTATACAAAAATATTCTTGGGGCACTTCATGATTAAGTTGTAAGTACATGCTTCATAAACACAGATTCCAGGTCACCCTTTTCATTCTGAAAGGTGCCCACAGAAATGGAAATCAAGGGACCCCTGACAGGGGTTTTGGGGGAAAGCAACTTCCCAGAGAAACATATTAGTGGGATATGTTACTTATAGCAGGTGCTCAGCAAATGCTGAAGAATAGTGGAAAACAGAAGTATCATTTCTTCACTGCAGAGAAGGGGTCTGTGGAGACACATGTCCTATGATAAGGTCAGAAATGTATAGATCTTATATCTGCTTTTTCAGAAGCTGGCCTCTATATGGAGAACTAACTGTCCCAATACCATTTACTGAAGAGAACATTCCTCTCAGCATTTTTTCATTATGATGGGAGAGATTTTAAACTACTGACCCAATTATTTTTTTTTGTTCATGACTCCATTCAGATTTATTTATTCATGAGTAAGTTTTACTACAATGGAGTTCCCAGGAAACTGTCCATGTAATCTGATTTTAAACTTTCAGAAAAAAAAAAAAAAATCTTCAGTGGTTTTTGTTTTTTAAAAAATAGGTGTTTTCTACCTTTAGTTTCAATAGTAAAATTCCTAATATGCTTTATATGCCCCCCTCACTCTTTTTGTTGCTATTGGATCAATCATGTTATAGGGGAGAGTTTATTTAATTTAATTTATTGATTTTGAGAGAGAGAGAGACCATTAATTTGTTATCTACTTATTTATGCCCTTATATGTGCTCTGACCAAGGATCAAACTCACAAGCTTGGCATATGGGACAATGCTCTAACCAACTGAGGTACCCAGTCAGGGCCAGAAAGAGTTTAAAAAAAATATTTTGCGGATTCTTTCTATTGAAATTTCTACATTTTCCACTAATTTCTACTCATCTATATTTTCCTTCAACTTAACTCAGATTTCTCTTTTTCCTCTCTAACTTCTTGGGCTGGGTGGCCTATAATTTTTATAAAATTCTAATATGTACTTGGAATAAAATGCACATTCTTGAATTCCTGGAAGCAGGATTCTGTACATATCCATTAGATTAAGTTTAAATATACCATAACCTTACTGAGTTGTCTACTTTATCTGTCAATTACTAAGATGGCCTGTTAAAATAGCCAACTACAATTATATATTTTTAACATTCCATATTTATTTCTAACATATAGTAGGTACACACCAGTTTGGAATTATTTTATCTTCTAGGAAATTACTCCTGTTATCATTAAGTGGTAAATTTTATCCCTGGTGTTTTTATTTTAGAATCTATCATTCTACATCAGCCGTGTTTGGTTGGTTAATAGTTGCCTGACATACCTCATCCTATCCCTCACCTTTCAACTTTTCTAGGTTTTCGAGTTGTAAGATTTAAAAAAGTAGTAAAAATGGCAAATTCTGTATCTTTATCCAATGTCTTTTAACTGGTAGGTTTAGTTCACTTAACATTTGTTCTAATTACTGATTCACTTATTTTAGCCATTTAATTTTGGGCCATTTCCCAAGTTTCTATTTATTTTTTTCCAATCTGGGTTTGTACTGGTTTAAAAGTCAAGACATCCTATTTTTATTATGCAGTGGTTACCCTGAATCATTTGAACACATATAGCTTGACTTAAAAGTCTATGATTAATTTATCTCACTTCAGTTTTGTTATGCTTTAGATTTCAACAGCTTTTTTGTTGTTGTTATTTAGTATTTTTGTTTCACCTTTATTTTACCTCGATTCAACTTAGTGCTTTTATTGCTTTATACAGTTACTGTTTATTTTGACTTACTTCCTTCTCATTGCTCATTATTGTTTCTTAAATTTCATTTCTGATTCCTGTGCTCAGCTTTTTTACTTTTAAACTATAGCCTTTATAACTGTGCCATTCAATTTAAATTACATACAATCACAAATTCAGTTCCACTAGGCACATTTCAAATGCCCAAAAGCAACATGTGACTAAATGCTACATACTAGACAGCATTGCTTTACAAGTGACTTCTGCAGGTCTGTTGGAGACAGAAGTTCTTTTATATTGAGAAAAAAAAAAAAAAAAGTCTTTATTTTGTTCTATTATTTTAAATAAAAATTTTTTTGATGAGAGAAACACTGATTTTCTGTTCCACTTTTTTATGCATTAATTAATTGCATGTGCTCTCATCAGGGATTGAACTTTCAAGCTTCGTTGGTATATAGGGGTGATGTTTTTAACCAACCTTGAGCTAACCAGCCAAGGCCACTTTGTTCTCTTGAATTACTAAATTGTTGATTGATTTTTCCTCCCTCAATACTCTGATTATTCCTTTGTCTTCCAAATTCAGTAGCTGCAACTAAATAGGCTGTGTGGGTGTTGCTCTTTGATAAATAATCAACCTCAGACAGCCTTTGGTTGCTGCTGTCTCTTTGCCTTTGATGATCTACCATGTGCTCAGATTTGTATTTATTTCTATTTATTATGTTTGGGGACTTAATCTACTGCCTACATCTGAAATTTATATTTCTAGATTCTGGAAAATTCCCACTCTTCAAATACCACCTTTCTCTCGAGTTTATTATTCTGAAGTTCTTCTCTCTCATCAGTCAGACTTTCTAATTCTATTTTCTCTATCAAAATTTTCTTTTTCTTTTTAAAAAAAAACAAAAACATTTTATTGATTTTGTACAGAGAGGAAGGGAGAGAGATAGAGAGTTAGAAACATCGATGAGGGAGAACCATCGATCAGCTGCCTCTTGCACACCCCCTACTGGGGATATGCCTGCAACCAAGGTACATGCCCTTGACCGGAATCGAACCCAGGACCCTTCGGTCCCCAAGCCGATGCTCTATCCATTGAGCCAAACAGGTCTCGGCTCTATCAAAATTTTCATTTCTTTCCTACTGTGGATGCATTCTGGATACTATCCTTTAATGTCTCTAATTTCCCAATATTCTTTCCAATTGTTGAGTCCAGGTAGAGAATTTATTTCAATAATTAAAAATTTTATTTCTAGAAGTTCTACTTGGTTATTTTTTACATATACCTGTTATGTTACTTTATAATCTACATCTGACATTAAAAGTCTCTATCTGATCATTTCATTGATTTTAGAGAGAGAGGAAGGTAGAGAGAGAGAAACATCAAAATGAGAGAGAAATATTGATCAGTTGCCTCCTGTACGCACCCTGACTGGAGATTGAACCCAAAGCCTTTTGATATACGGGACAATGCTCTAACTAATTGAGCCACACTGGCCAGGGCCGACCATTTCAATAACTGAAGTTTTTGGGAAGGGTTGGCCAATCCTGTTGTTTGTTGTATCCTACCTCTCACTGACTGTGAATTATTTCCTTGTATATTTAGTAGTAACTTTGGACCCTGAAACTTATCAATGAGACCCCTTGGCAATTTGGGTTAAGGATGTGTCCCTCCAGAAGGGTTTTGCATTTGCTTTGGTCAGGTGCCCTAGAATCACCAGTTGAGGATTAAATGTATGTTAATTTTTTGGCCTGGGTAAGAAATTACACCAAATGAATGATAAAATTTAAACTCCAAATCTGAATGAGAGGAATCTCATGGTTACTATTTTTAGAGACATGTGTCCATGAGACTCACAGTCCAGACTGAGAGATAAATCTGCCTGTCATCTCCCTAGATTGGTGGGCTAATTTCTATTTTATTATTACGTATGTAGCTTATTAGGGGAACTGGCTATAGGCTGGTATATGGGTCTCAACTCCAACTCTGCACCTCGTTAGGCCTCAAGGTCTTGTCTTCTGATCCCATATAATTATAATGGAGTCCTTATTTGAAGTACAGCTCCCCATCTCCAAGCACCCTGAACAGCTGGCAGCCAGTGTCAGGCCACAGGCTTTCCAGTTCAGCTTTCCGTCTTCAATTTGATGCTAGCCCACTGCAATGACCGCTATTTCCTTTTTGGCTAAACTCTGCATTTAATATTTTATACAGTATTTCTAAATGTTTATAGGAAGATTTTATGTCATTCTATTGCTGGACAGAGTTG